AAAATAAGCAATTTCCTCTATGCGATGCCAAACAATCAGTACTTGTTACATGCAAATCAGCTCTCTATGGCAAGGAAAATCACAGCATTTTTAGTCTCTGTTATATGGACTCTACATATAGTTTATGAGGATCTGTTGCAGAATCAAACTATCATATGAATTGAAAATACAAGAACATAAAAACTAAACATTAAAAGCCAGACTCATATGTTAACACTTCTCACTTAGGTTAAGAAAATAAGGTAAGAGAACTTAAAGAAAGATATCAATCCAAACCGAAGACATCTGTTTTGTCAATTGAGAGAAAAAAGGAGTCAATTTTTGTCTTCTTCTTGAAAACCATGCATCGATTAAGCCAAAATAATAATAATTGGAAATGAAAAAGAAAAAAATCTGTTCAGATTGGTGAGGACTGTTAATGAAAAGGCAGGGAGAATATCATAATAAAAATGATAAAAATCTGTTCACCTAACTTTCATTTAAGTTGCAACCGTTAATCACTCACCGTCAGTTAACAATTCTGTTAATTTTGACTGGTGAAATGGCACTGACAAGAAAAAATAATTACACTATTGGTCCAATAGTGAGGAATGATGCAAATCATGATAACACCTTACACATAGCAGGGGAGGTTCATTCTTCCTTAATACTCCCTAATTAACCCGACCATTCCTAAACTACCTCCCTAAATCATCAGCTCATATACCTTTCTTGCTGAAGACCGCACTGCTATGACAAAAAGAGGCGTCTTCTGAGCACACAACCCCATCACAAGAATACAAGAAAGCTAATAGGTTGAAATTTAACATATGAAGAACCATATAATACTGAAAGAATTCAAGTTGGGTAATTGACATGAATTCAGCAATTAAAAGTAACCCTTCATGATTGACATGAATGCAAACTTAGATAAGGAAATAAAATTTTTATCAAAGAATTTTAAATGATAACTTCGATTTAGAAGTATTTTGGATAATCACTATTGGTCCAGACTCTAGAGATGATGGTGTACTTTTTTGGGTTGCTCCTGTAAAGTGCAAACCCGTGAGCATCGGTGACCAACTATTCACGGGAGGAGTAGAACAGAGTTTAATCTAAGTCGAAATTTCAAGAAAACAAACTGAAAAGAGCATCCACAAGCTGCAACCATTCTATGGGCAAAGAATAGAAAATTCAGGTAAAATTCAAATCCAGCAATAACCCATCATTTTCCAGCCAACAAGAAGCTACCAAATGTTAAACATTAGAAAAGCAAATTTGAATTTGCAAAGAACAGAGGAATAAGTAGATCTGAGTTCTATAAATAACGAAGAAAATAAAAATGAAAAAGTAGATCTGAGACTTACCAGAGGATTCGACAGAGTGGCACCGGCTATGGCAACCGGAATAAGTAGCTCAATGCCAGAAAAGAAGAAACGTGTAGGAATCACTGAGACTGAGAAAAGAGGGGATAGACCTGAGTTTTATAGTTAATGAAGAAATGGGAAGGAAAAGCTAGATCTGCGACTTACCGGACGATTGACGAAGTGAACCTCGACGGAGTGGCACCGACAGTGGCAACTGACCGACGAGATCACAGAGAGTTGGAAGATCAATCAGGATGACAGTTAGGTAGGAAGAAAAGGGCAAGAGAGATTTTGCTTTTAAGTCGGTTAAAAATTAAATCCTATCCCACCGTATCCCAAGGTATACATCCGATAATTTTCATTTCTGCAGGTTAGGACTGGACAAAATATGAGTTATGTTTTGTCCAATCCATTGCGATCCCCAAACATGGGTTATGGCTGGTCAAGATTAATTTTTGTTCAATCCCACAATTAATCCAGCATTCCAAACGGGCTGTTCAATACCCCACACTCCGATATAGCGAATTTTTGAAGAGAGGAAAGTCCGTGGAGGCTGGGAAAGGACATCAGACCATTACAGCAGCTTATAACTAAGTCTTTGAGACACGTGACAGTAGAAAAACCCTTCCCCATGCTTTTCAATTCCTCACATTTGATTATCTCAATTTTTTTAAGAGAGTAAAGCCCATCAATACCCGGCATGGACATCAGCTTATCACGGTCAGAAATATTTAACTCTTGTAGACACGTGGAGGCAAATCGAGCATCGTTCCGAATCCTTAATTCCCTGCATTCCTCAAGATCAAGTGTTTCAAGGAATTGTAATTTACTAATCCTCGAAAGATTTTTCAATTTACCACAACTCCTTATATGTACTTCTTTGAGAGACTTCATGGCACCTGGTCCAACTTCTGCCCCAGCCAATCCTTCACATCCCTGAATGATGAGTTTTTGAAGAGACGAATATGCAATGTTTTTCAAATTCTTGCAATTTTTAATTTCCACCTTTGTCTCATTACTAAGCGAAAGTGATGGAATGCTTTCCAACCTGGGGCATTCATAAAAGGTCATGAACATCAGATTTTTGAGAAAATTGACATTTTCTGCATCAACTTTTTTATTTTTGACATCCATGAAGGACAGCATTTACCACAATAGGATATAATAGTTAGGCCTTTCAAATTTGAATGAGGTTGGAGGCCTTCCCAGATATCTTCATCTTGTTTGCATCTATCTTCACTACCATTGGATGTCTCACGAAACACCAACTGCAACTCCTGAATTGTAGCCTTTTCAGAAAGTCTTGCTCCCATGGCTTCTTCTTTGTCTCTAACATATCCAAATTACAAATCTTTAATTCTCCCCTGAGTTGGCTTAAACATCTCAATTCTTCAATTTGATGTCCCTTCTGTTGGCCCACAACAAATAATTGTAATGTTTTCAAACAAGTTAGTTTACTAATCCATGCTGGCATAAGCTTCCACTGATTGATATAAATGTGTCTCAAATTGATTAAATCCCATATTCCCTCCAAAGGCCTTTTGAGTTGCCAACAATACATAAATCTAAATGTCTGCAAATGATAGAGCTTGGTGATGAACTTGGGAATTTTTTTGATTCCAGTTTGTGAAACATCCAAGAACCTACTCCCACCCCTTTTTCCTATTCCCATTATGGAATCTACTTTCTCAATTCTAGTTGTGACAAGAACCCTACTCCCACCCTTTTTTCCTATTCCCAACAAACAATTTCTTAAGTTATCCCATTTTGGCTTTTCTTCATTCCATACATCATCTAGAATGAGGAGATAGTTTTTCTCCTCAAGCATTTTTTTAAGTTTCTGAACTACAGCTTCTTGATTTTCAAAATCCACATGATCATTCTCATTAGTGATGAGAGGTTTCAGCATCATTGCTAATATTTGTTTCTCATCAAAATTTTCAGAAACACAAACCCACATTTTTTTGTGAAAATGTTTCTCTATCAGCTCATTGTTGTACACTAGTTTTGCCATGGCAGGTTTACCTATGCCTCCCATACCAACTATGGATACAACAGGGAGACGTTGATCATCACTTGAATCAATCAACAACTGAACTACCTCTTGGACTTTATTTCCTCTTCCTACAATTTTCGATGGATCACAAGTGATGAATTTGTCTGTTGGATTCCTACATGGTCAGGAAGCTTGTTTGCAAGTCTATGTTGAAGCCCTAGTTTAGTGGCCCAATCATTAAGGCTAGCTAGATTCAAATCCTTAATCCTGTTAGCTATCTTAAGGCGAATAGCTAAAGGATTAGAAAGAGTAGAGAAATAGCTGACCTTTTTCCACATTTGTTTTTGAGCCACCTTGTACCTTAGATGTTCATATGCAATCTCATCTACCACATTGTCAGCTTCATCAACTATATTTCCTTAAGCCAAGGTTGCAGATCAGAGTAACCCGTCAACTTCTTCTCTTCTGCATCTTGCAGCACGCCCCTTACCATGCTCAGCACCACACGAAACTTCTTGAGCTCCTGCTTGAATCCCACTGCTAAGTTGAGTTGCTTGGTAGTAACTGAAATCACCTTGGATATTGTGACATCCACAAGAGGACCAAGAATAAGGTCAGCCATATTTGCTTCAGTAGTTTGGAAGAGAGAAATGCTTGGAGATTGTATAGCACAAAAGAAGAGAGAACAATGTGAAGGGAGTAGAGAATAGCTACAGGCAACATTTATACATGCAGACAATAGAAGGTGAAGGTTGAACATTAGTGCTTGTCCAACGAATGAAGGAAAAGAAAGGGATGAGTGATAAGGAGGAAAAGATAAAGGATCACCCTGCATTATATCTTTCTTAAAACACAAATATTCTTCTCCTCCATTGCTGTTAGTTAATCAGTTTACGTATTATTCCTTTGTGGTAGCAACTTAGATTTCTTTAGTATTATATATAACATATTTCCTCTTCTAAGAAAAGAATAGTCTCTTTTGCCATCAAATAAGTCGAAATGAGGAGTGAAGAGGAGGAAAAAAGAAATAGAGGGTTCCCCCTTTCCTCTTTCGTGTGGGTTTTCTCTCTTTCCTCACCATTTAAGCCGAATTAGCTGTCTGGAATTGGACCTATTTAAATGGAGAAACATGATGTTTCAGCTTTTGGGTTGAGCATCTTAAGCCCAAATTCGCTTTTTCAAAATCAAACCATTTTAAAGCCCGATTGATTTTCCCTCTTTTTGTTTTCTTGTACCCTTTCCCGTTTAATTATTATTATTTATTTTCAGTTTATGTAACCCTTTTGTATTTTGTGACGTAAGAATGGTCTACACGCAACTTAAAATTATTTTTTTGGCAAAACCATAAGTTAAGCCCCTGAAACTAAACCCAGAATCGCCATTAAGCTCCTAAACTTTAATTGATGCATATAAGCCCTTGAACTCTGCTATCAAAGCAATTAAGCCCTTCCTCTCGCGCCAACTTAACTGCCGTTTGGACTTGCTCGCATAGCTTAACTGCCGTTTATGCTTGGCTGCTTGGATGGCAAAATATTGCCATATCATGCTTATATGGCAAAGGAATTAAAATTTGAATGAAATTTTTGACTTATTTGATCATTTAATTTTTTGAATTAAATAAAATAAAGTCATACGATTGGGTGAAAATATTATTTAAATAAAATTTTAAATTTAAATTTCATAAATAAAGTAATAGATATTAAAAAAAAATTTATGTGATTCATTATAATTTAATTTTAAATTAGTTGAGATTAATATAACATTTAAATTTTAAAAGTTTAATAAAAAAATA